AATATAAGGAGAATTATTCATTGCAACGTCACGTCACGTACACGACGTCACACGTCACTTGGACAACGTCACTTGTACGATGGGATGGGGTGCCGCAAACCAAAGCTCTAAAATATTTTGAAAAATGCTTGGGAGCACTAATTAGTGCTCCCACTAATTAGGTGGCAGTGGGTCTCGTCATTAATGATGTGATATTTTAGTTTTGGAGTTGTATTTTTTTTTTTTTTTTACTTTTTTAATACATTAGTGCTATTAGTGGTGATATTTTTAATGGGATAAATCATTGTTGAAATTTTTTTTTTTTTTTTTTTGTTAAAAACCATTTCATTACCATCTTTCCATATCTGCCAAAGAATATAGGAGTTTTCTTAAGTGTGCAAGTGCACACCATGTGCCACTTACACAAAAAGTGTAAGTGTAAGGTGTAAGTATAAGTATAAGGTGTAAGTGTAATGTGTAAGTGTAAGGTGTAAGGTGTAAGTGGGTTGCACATGGTGTCCAACCTCAAAAAAGGTGTAAGTGTAAGGTTTAATTTTTTACAAAAGGTGTAAGTGTAAGGTGTAAGTGTAAGGTATAAAGTGTAAGGTGTAAGTTGCACACCATAACCAAACCCAAGAATATAAGGGGAAAGATGAAAAGGACTTTGAAAAGAGAGTCAAAGAGTGCTTGAAATTGTCGGGAGGGAAGCGGATGGGGGCTGGCGATGCGCCCCGGTCGGATGTGGAACGGCGTCCAGCCGGTCCGCCGATCGACTCGGGGCGTGGACCGGTGCGGATCGGGGCGGAGGCCAAAGCCCGGGCAGTCGAAAAGCCCGCGGAGACGCCTTCGCCCCGATCGTGGCTGGCAGCGCGCGCCCTCGGGCGTGCTCCGGCATCTGCGCGCTCCCGGCGCCGGCCTGCGAGCTCCCCATTCGGCCCGTCGTGAAACACGGACCAAGGAGTCTGACATGTGTGCAAGTCAACGGGCGAGTAAACCCGTAAGGCGCAAGGAAGCTGACCGACGGGATCCCCTCTATAACTTGGTTAGCAAGCCGAACGTGGAGAAAGAAATATTATTGGTTGATCTGGACAGTCATTCCAGCAAATTACAAACCCTCGTGTCTCTTAATATTTTCTAATCATTTAAGTTTGGTTTGATATAATTTAAAAAAAGTCATTATCCTATTTAAGTCACATCATTTTATTTAAATTACATTATCTTTCTAACACATCACATCAAATCCAATCCATATAAGTCAATAAATCAAAAAATACACTTTTTTAGAACATTCCAAACCAACTCTTAAAATAAAATGATTATTTTTATTTTTTTAACTAATTATAATACATATAAAATATTACGTGTGATGTTGTCTTTAGAACAAAATTACGTGATGTTGTCTGAAAACTAACTAATTTCTCGTTTAAAAGATGGACGTTAATGTTGTATTTGATTAAAAGATTTAAAAATAAAAAGAAAAAAGATGTATAAAATTAGATAAAATATAAGTATATTTTATTCATATTTTACTTTCTTTTTTCCTTTCTATTTTCACATTTTTTTCTCAAATTCTCAAATTTTTTATCTAATTTTTATTCATATATAAAGATAATAAGATCTAATATTTTATTCATAATATATAAAGATAATAATATCCAATATTTTATTCATATTTTTCATCTATCGAAGGAATGCCACTACATATTTATTATGAATATGATGGTGACAGGCCACATCTAAATATAGGAAACAAAATTATTATACATCATTATATGATTTGAGGCCAAAATACCTAATCACCTATGGTTTAAATATAATTAAAAAATTTCTATGTAATTTTAAATTAAAGTGTCACTATTAATTTTTTCTTCCAAACTAACAGAAGTTGTATCACTCATACCATTTTTAGGGCGGGCTTGATTTTTTGAAAAAATTAAGTGAAATTAACACAATAAAAAGACAATTATACTCCAAACTTCTCTAAACCTAACCGTTTGGGAAGGTGGGTTGGAGGCTTTTTTGGCTATTTTAGCCACAAAAAATAAAATAGGCTATTTTAGCCATAACAAACAAAACATCACATCCAACCCATAATCATTACATTCTTCTCTCACAAAAAAACTAAAAAAAGCCAAAAAGCCAAAAAGCCTTTCCCAAACCAAGCTTTTAAGCCCAGGCTAAAATAGCCAAAAAAGCTAAAAAGCCAAAAAGCCAACCCACTTCCCAAACGGAGATATTAATTAAAATAAAATTAACATATAAATAATGAGTGATTTAAAATATAATTAAATTAAAATATAAAATAATTAAGAATTAAGAATTGATCTAAGCCTAAGTAAACTAAAATTAGATTAAGATGTTAGGAATTACAATAAATAATTAATAATTTATGTTTAATTGTGATCTAAAATGTAATTAAATTTAAAATTAAAATAAATGTTAGGAATTATAATAAATAATTACAGATTTAGGATTAATTGTAATTTAAATATAATTATATTAAAAAGTTATAATTAAAATAAATAATTAAGAATTTAAAATTAATTGTGATTTAATTGAATTAATGTTAAAAATTATAAATGATGTGGATGAGAGAGAAGAGAGAAAGAAAATAAGGTAAATTCCACTTACCCCCTTCAACTGTTGTCTTATATCAATTTACCCTTCTCAAGATAACAACTAACCCCTCTCAAGATAATAACTATCACCTCATATTCCTTTACCCTTTTCAACTATCACCTAATATCACTTTACCCTTCTCAACTATCACTTAACATCACTTTCAATTTCAACTTTCTTATATTTTTCATTTCACCACAAAATTATTTTTTAGTTTGTGAAAAAAAAATTAAAAATTCAAAAACTAAACAACGAAAATATTTATGAAAAATTCTAAAAAACATGTTTATTAAAGACAAGAAATATAAAAAAAAAAAATTAAATTTTTTTTTTGGTTCTTTAGTAATTTTTTTTTTTAAAAAAATCTTCACAAATATTTAAATTTTAGATGCGTTTAAAATTTTAAATTTTTTGACTACAATATGAAAAAAATTACTAATAATATTATAAAATAAAACTTAAAATTTTTATTTTAAATTAAAAATCAAAATTTTTTTTTTCAAGTGAGGGGATAAGATGATATTGAGAGAGCGGGTAACGCGTAATTTACTCCTATAGTTAAAAAGAAGCTAAGGTTACACTTTGGTCCAATATTACAAGAATCTTTTTTGCTATATTTAAATCAATTGAGATAAAGTGATCTCACTTCAAACTATAAAGATTAAAATAAATTTTATCCATAAATATAAATAATATGTAAATATAATAATGAATAAGATTATTACAAAATAAGCGAAGCGGTTAACAACAACAAATAATCTCTCCAAAACCTGTTCATGACATTAAGAACATTGTAGGCCCCGCTTATGGATTATTTAGGTTCATGGTGTGAAAACAAACGTTGTATCAAGACTTTGAAAAAGTAAGTCCACCTAAAAATACAAAGACTTGGAAAAAGTGAGTCCACCCATAGAAGGTTACGAAGGAGTAGTAGACACCTGACTTGTGGTAGCGTTGAAACCAAGTCAGGCGAACATGATGTCTCAATACAATTTTTTAATACATATTTTTTTTATAAAAAGTTAATCTAAATAATCATATTTTTTTCTCAATTTTTTAGTCTAAAAAGTTAAAAAATGCACTTATTTAAGACACCCCAAACAACCCCTAAATATCGTCTGGGCAAAATCTCACTTAATTTGTTAAAATCGTTTAATTCGTATCAATTTACTTAAAAATTGTTTCACAAATACAAACTAAACACACGGCCGAAGTTTGTGTTGATTTCTTATTAAAGACTCCCCAGACTTGGAACCAAAATTCTAAGCTTCAAATTTGCATTTCATTTCACAACCTGAGCCTCCAATTCTCGGGCCTGATGTCGCTACAACAAAAAGCAGTTTTAGCGACTAAAAATGTAAATTTTGTCGCTGAAAACAGGACAATTGGCGACTAAAATTGAATTAGTAGCCAAAAGTGAAGACTTTTGGCAACTAAAACAGTTTAGTAGCCAAATGTATACTTATTGGCGGCTAAAAATCAGTTAAGTCGCTGATTATGCTATATAAATAATATATTTTGCATATATATTCACGTGATGTTATTGTGGCATAGTGGAGAGAGTGTGTTGCTAAAGGTTTAGAATGTGGAAGGTTAGTTGTTCAAAACTTGGGAAGAGCAGACGGAAATTTTTTTTTTCTGAAATAAGCTTTTGGCGACTAAAATGGGGGTCACCAAAAGCTTCAGTATTAGCGACGAAAAAAAAAGTCGCCAAATGTATAGTTTAAAAAATATAAATGAGCTTTGGCAACGAAAATTTTAGTCGCTAGAGACTTGGTTTTTTGGCGACTAAAAGTTTATTAGTCGCCAATACCTTTCGCGACAGTTTTCCAGCGACCAAGCCGGCGACTAAAAAATTTAGTCGGAGAAACTTAAAACCCGACTTTTGGCAACTAAAAAATTCACTTTTGATGACTAAAAATTTAATCGCCAAATGTGTTTTTTCTTGTAAGGAGGGTAAGGTGTATCTTTTCCCCACCCAGTTATGGTTTATCATTTTAAGTCTGACATTAGATAGCAGTTTTGGGTTTGATCAGAAGATAACAGTTCCTTCAATTCCTTAGGCCACTAAAATTAGAAGATATGCATATAGAAAATGGGGATATGCATTTTCACACTGCTTGTTTGTACTCCACAAACAGGCCTCAATCAGTTTTTATATTGAAAGCAAGTTTACAAAGGGAAATTATAAAATATTCCCGAAATACCATGTCCATACTCTTTAACCAATCATCATTATATATGCTCTTCACGTTCCCTAATCACCCAATACAATACCTTACATACCCAACTTCTCCACCAATCATAATGCTATGGAATAACACATGTCTATATTCTGAGATTACTGAATAATTACCCATTAGCAAGGTATTAGAATTCCAATCATAAACAGACTATTCATGTATACCAAAAAAAAACTTCTTATATGATTCCAAAAGATCAACCTAAACAAACAAGTTTCTTCATATTATAGGCAATCAAGCAAATCATAATAATACAAAAAACAAACTGACACAAGTAAACACAAACTGATCAGTATCAGAAACAGAGCTTAATAGCATTCAAGAAAATAATTATAATTTGAACATAACTTTACAACGTTATTACTCACAGTTGGCTCCTTATATCACGTGATTAGGATGCAGCGTCCGACCTACATAACACATTCAAGCACAACATCTCAAAATTCGTTCATTTCATTTGGTCGGTTCAATTCGGTTCATTCATTACTTATTCATTCGGTTATTTTTACTCATTCTTTAAATCGTTCTTATATATGATATGCACATGATATGCATATGAAGTTGAAATACAAATGAAAATCATGCAATTGGAGGCTCGAAAGTCAAAAAAAGGGAAAGAAAATGAAACTGGAACCATCTTGAAATCTCCTTGTGCGGGAGCACTGGCCACACATGCGGAACTGCCACCACACGTGCACCCCACATGTGCAATTTGTAACATGGGAGGTTGGCTGCACGTGTGGGGCCTCAAGCCACACGTGTGATCTGGATTTTCAAAGAATCCAAAATTCTGCTCAAGTTTTGGAACTCAACTTTGTGTGCTTTAAACTTCATTTTCGTGCATCTCAACCCAAAAATCCATGAAAACAACCTTGAATTTGGATTTCCAACATAAAATATAAATTATAACTTTGGATCAAAACTCAAATTTCCAATTAAAGAACAAAATCTTGAATAAAGTATAAAATCACCATAATATGTACAAATTGAGTTCCAATTCAAAATCTTTGAGGTTTTCTCTTCAAATTTGTAAAACCATGCAACAAATTATATGCAAGAACAAGAATGAAGCCATGCATGTCAAGTTATGTGCTTATTTCCTACAAGTTCTTCCTTATTTGATCATATGAACTCTTAACACTAATTTACATAACTAAACTTACAATTATGCATGATTTCTTACTATTCCAACATAGATTCTATAATCTCATGTGTATTACAACTCAATTTCATGGAATTAGAGAAGAATTCCTACCTTTGCTTGTTGAATTGTTGAGATTTAGCTTAGTCCTTGTCTTCCTCTTCTTTTCCTCTCCTTCTTGAGCTCTCTAGAGCTTTCTCTCCAACAAAAGGCACTAAATCTCTCTCTCAAACTCTCTTCTTTGATTATATTGATGAATAGGTTAAGAAGTGTATTTATCCACTAATTATTCCTAATTCCCTTGGGCACTAATTAATCACAAGCTTAAGTTTATTAATACTACACTAATCAACTACTTAATTAAATCATCATCCTATGATTTAAATTAGACTACATTTAATCATCCTAATATGAATTAGGCTCTAATTACCTATCTATATATTTAATTCCAAAGTATATAAGTTACTGATTCATATAGGTTCAATTTATATCCTATACATATTTATTCACAATAACACAATGCATATCACACATTATCACACGTGGCACTTAATAACACAAACAAATAATCAATGCAAATCACATAATTAACTTAATTAATTAAGGAGGTGGTTGTCACGTGTACCTCTTTTAGTTATTGTGAAAAAGAATACTTCCATGAAACAAGGCAAGCAAGCTACGCTTAACTTCGTCCCGTGGTACTAAATGGGTGTGGACAAGGTGGAGCAGTGACTTCCAAAATTCCTTCGAGCATCAGCATAACTTTCTTCATGGTAGGTCTCAGAGACGGGTCTTCTTGAATGCACCAAATGGCAATAATCAGAAACCTCTCTAGCTTCTTCCGATTGCTAATGGCCTCTGCATCATTTTCTACCAAAGCATGTAACATGCCTTCTTCATAGCAATCATATGCCCAGTACGTTAAAATTGCTCTCTCTCCACCAATCTCCATATCCACATTTTTCCGACAACAAATGATCTCCAGAAGCAACACACCAAAGCTAAACACATCAACTTTCACTGTGATTGGCATGTTCCTATACCATTCTGGTGCAACATACCCTTTTGTTCCTCTGACGGCCGTATGGGTTTCGCTCTGATCCATCCTCAGAAGCTTTGCCAGTCCAAAGTCAGAAATCTGAGCATTGAAGTAGTCATCAAGAAGTATGTTTTGAGGCTTTATATCACAATGGATGATTTGGGTGCTACACTCATCGTGCAAGTACACAAGTCCTCTAGCAATCCCAACCGCGATTTGAGTCCTTTGGTTCCAACTGAGCTTTAAATCACCGAAAAGAAACCCTGCCAAAGACCCATTGCTTAGGAATTCGTATACCAATAACCGGTGAGGTCCATCATAGCAATAACCATTCAGCTGAACCAAATTTTTATGATGGGTCTGGCCGATTACATTCACCTCGGTTTTGAATTCCTTGTCACCATCTTGAAGAATTCTATCTAACTTCTTGACCGCAACATGAATGTTTGAACCACCCATTTGCACAACCCCTTTGTATACAATGCCGAATGATCCTCTTCCGAGTTCTTCCTTGAATCCTTCAGTAGCATCTAAAAGTTCTTTGAATGTATAGCATCTCAAATTTCTCTCCACAACACTCTCCGCTTTTCCAATTGTTGTCAACTTGTTGCGGTAGATCAGCAAAAATCCAAGACACATCACACTAATCAGTATGAAGTTGACAAAAACAGAGGTACCTAGAAAAGCAGACATCAAAATGACCAGACCGTCCTGATTATTACGGCCTGGAATAGGCAATGCAGGGTTTTGTGAAGAGTTGGTTTTCTTAAATTTGATAAAGGCCTTTCCGTTTAGATTAGTGTCCAATCTTCCATTAGAAAGCGGTAGCTTCTTCTTCCAACAAGTGTTGCCTCTTAAAATGGCAACAGCACACATGCAATCAGTCAAGCAGGCTTCTTGACATGTCTCTTCATTGTAAGGCTCCAACCGATCATAGTCACTGGTTGGCCAATCAATATTCGTGACTACATAAAAATCATACAGATTTGATGCAGAACTTGGTTCATTTACGCAGTCCTGTACAAAATCTGGTACGCAACCTCTGTAGTCATCTGCTGGATCAAGCAAAGAAAATGGTCGCGGACATTCACACTCTGGCCTTTGATCTATGTTGATTCTGCAAATTCTGTTATACCCACAAACCCCACTACCTGCATTCTCTATAGTGCCTAAACAAATGTTAATCGGCACTGTCCAAAGGACAGTCCAGCTTGAACTGCCAGTTTTTGTCTTTGGATGTCTATAGTGGATCAAAACTCCATCAAAATTAAGAGTTACCCTATGATAGAAGTCGTATGCTCGAGCATCATCTCCCTTTGAAAGGACTAACTCATGTCCATTATCTCTCAAAATGCTCAAGTAGCCTGATTTATTGAATACCAGTGTGTCACTCGACGAGCCAGAACCAGAACCAGAACTATTTCCTGTGGATAAAAAATAATAAGGGTCGTTACGAAAGTTACCTGGTATGTTCACGGTTCTCAGCCCAAGATCTCCATTTAACCGACTAAGTTGGAACCTTCCTTGTGAAAAGTTACTCTCCGATTGGCGGGAAGAGAGGAACTTACCATCTTCCATTATCTGTGTAGGCAACAAAGTATCGGTAAACTGATTGAAGCTCTGCCACAACGGTTCAGAATTTTTGTTTGCAAGCAGAAAATTGCCTGTGTCATTCATAACACCATAGGCAACTACACCTATAATTGGGTCAGAAATCGAATTCTGTTCGCCTTGAGGGGAACTAAGGATTAATCCGCGATCAGCAGTGAGCTCGATTTTCGAGCCCCTTGGTGCAGGCTTATCCCCATTTGCATACCAAACAATTGTTTTGTCTGGTACCTGGTCATACCATATTGAGACAAGGAAGAGATCTTTGTTGTCAAGTCGGTGAAATCCAAATGCAAAATCCCCAGAAGCCGAAAGCCATGGAGTGGCATCTTCAGTTGCAGTGAGAGTTGCTCCCAGTTTCACAATACCATTAGTTTGAGCTACTGAAAAATAGGGTAGAACAAACAAGAAGAAGAGATGGGGAAGAACAAAAGCTGCCATTGCCACTGTAAGATAAATTGATAGAGAGAGAGAGAGCAAGTGAATAAATGAGATGTGTATATAATTTTGTTAATTTACAAAGGGAGCCCAGCTCTCTTCTTATAGCCTGTGATGTACATTGGATGCGAGGCACCGAAAGCATAAAGCTAGCCGAAAGCATAAAGCTAGCCTGTTATTAAAGCTAAAGCTAAACATAATAATAACAATACTAAAGTATTGAGGGGGAGTTTAGATGAGTGAAGAAACCAAACATTATTCACTCACTTTTCAATGAATCATGGTGTTGCTGCCTCGCATTTTCAAGAAGCAAAAGCAAAGCCAAATACTCGTACAACATTCCAACTACGATAATTCAATTTTTTTTTTTTCTTTTTTTTTGACTGCTTTATGCTTGCTTTGGGGCTTGTTTATTTTTTGACTTTTTTTTTTTGGGTGCTTATTTTCATCTTTATAGAACCTTTTTTTAAAAAAAAATTTAAAAAAATTAAGTTTCTAAATTCAGCTCACGAGATGAACTGAAAATTTATAATTTTTAAAAAAAAATTCCAAAAAAATACGACAATCCTGTGATAAATTTGCTTTAAAAAATATGATAAATATAGCATATGATGAAATTTTAGGATTTCTTATAGTGTTTTTATTTTAAGAAAATGTATTTTGATAAATTGTGCCAAATAATTATAATAAATAAATAAATTAGATGGAAGAGAGCTTTCAAAATTTTCTATTAGGACACATTAGTGATTGTTAAAAAAAATAATAATATATATATTAATAATTAAAATCATAAATTTTCTCAACCGTTCGACTCAATATTTAATTGGAGTTTTCTTAAGTGTGCAAGTGCACACCATGTGCCACTTACACAAAAAGTGTAAGTGTAAGGTGTAAGTATAAGTACAAGGTGTAAGTGTAAGGTGTAAGTGTAAGGTGTAAGGTGTAAGTGGGTTGCACATGGTGTGCAACCTCAAAAAAGGTGTAAGTGTAAGGTTTAATTTTTTATAAAAGGTGTAAGTGTAAGGTGTAAGTGTAAGGTATAAGGTGTAAGGTGTAAGTTGCACACCATAACCAAACCCTAATTAATTTGGCCTTTTTTTTAGGTGGCTAGTGGTTCAATGAATCAGCAAAAAATATGTCAGAGTCAAATCTCCACTTCTATCACGTCTGGTAAATGCATGAACGCATTTACTGTATTTAGTTAGAAGATTTAGAAAAAATTTAGAAAAGAAAAAAAAAATATGTATACAATTAAGTGAAATATAGATATATTTTATTCACATTTTACTTATTTTTTCTATTTTACTTTCCAAATCTCTACCCAAATCCTCCAACCAAACAAAGTATTAGTATAAAATGTCATTTATTTGGTGGTCTCCACTGCATCACATGAAAGACTTTAGTATACAGTTATTCAAGGTTTAGTTTCAATTTTTTAAATTTAATTTTTTAGATATTTAATTTTTTATTTTTTATATTTTTTTATTTTAAGTGAATATTTTTAAAATTTTAAATAATTTTTTAGTTTTTTTAAATTCATCTTATTTAAATGTATCTAAAAAATAAAATATTTATGAAAAAATATTTTAAAAAATTAATAAATACACAAAAAATTTTAAAATGTACTAAATTTTTATATTTTTAGTATTTAGAGAATTTTTTAAAGATTTTTTTTCATAAATATTATATATTTTAAGTGTATTTATATTAAATGTGTCTAAAAATTAAAAAAATTACTTAAAATATTAACAAAATTCAATAAAAACAAAAAATAAAAAAATAAAAAAATAAAATTTTCTAAAAAATGAATTCTAAAGATCAAAACTAAGCAGAGTGAATGCTTTTCCACCACCACCTCCTCACTCTTTCTTCTATTGCCATAGTTATTTCCAACCCATGTGCACAAAACCAGAACTTTCCTCCCTCAAAATAAATCATTAATCACATTTGTATATCATTTTTCATCTATTATCTTGTATGTTGTTATTATATTAATTTAAAGAATACCACTACATATTTATCATGAATATGATAGTGACATATCACATCATAAATATAGAAGAAGAAAAAAATTATTTTACTTCATTATATGATTTGAGGTCAAAATACCTAATCTCTTATAATTTAAATATAATTAAAAAATTTCTATATGATTTTGAATTAAAGTGTTGCCATTAATTTTTTCTTCCAAGCTAACCGAACACAACAAAAAGACAATTTTACTCCAAACTTCTCTAAACCTAAAATTATATTAAGATATTAATTAAAATAAAATTAACATATAAGCAAGGAGTGATTTAAAATATAATTAAATTAAAATATAAAATAATTAAGAATTGATCTAAGCTTAATTAAACTAAAAATAGATTAAGATGTTAGGAATTACAATAAATAATTAATAATTTATGATTATTTGTGATCTAAAATGTAATTAAATTTAAAATTAAATTAAAATGTTACGAATTACAATAAATAAATTAAAATTAAATTAAAATGTTACGAATTACAATAAAATGTTACGAATTACAATAATTAATAATTTATGATTATTTATGATTATTTGTGATCATCAGGTGGGTAAATTACACTTTTCCCCATTGAATAACTATCAACTCATATTACTTTTCCCCCTTCAACTATTACCTAATATCACTTTCAATTTAGACATTCTTATATTTTTCATTTCATCACTAAATTATTTTTTAGTTTGTTAAAAAAAATTAAAAAATTGGAAAACCAAACAACGAAAATATTTATGAAAACAATCTACAAAAATGTTTACTAAAGACAAGAAATATTAAAATAAAAATAAAAAACCCTTTTTTTTTAGTGAATTTAAAAAAAAAATCACAAATATTAACTTTAGATGCATTTAAAAATTTAACGCTCCGTTTGGTTTAGTTTTTAAAAAGAGTTTAGAGTTTTGAGTTTTGAGTTTTGAGTTTTGAAGATAAGTTGTTGAAAAGAGTTTTGAAAATTGAATATTGAAAATTAAAAATTTGTTTGGTTATGAGTTTTGAAAATAATTTTTGGAATGATTTGTAGTTTTTTTATATTTTTTGTAGTTGAATAGAAGGGTAAGAAAAAAAAATTAATTGATTGATGTATAATATGAGATGGGGAGAGAGGAGAAAATAAAAGTGATTGACTGATTTATTAATTAAAAAAAGAAAAGGAGAGAGGAGAGAGAAAAAATAATTTTGAATAGAGTTTTGAAAATTTATTAACCAAACATCACTACAAAAAAAAATTGTTTTTTGCGACGGCAAAACGCCGTCGCAAATACTCCAAATGCCGTCGCTAATAGTTTTTGCGACGGTAAATAGTTTTTTGCGACGGCAAGTGGGGGGTCGCAAGAGAGGGGGTTGCAAAAGGGCTTTAGCGACGGCAAGAGCCGTCGCCATTGTTTTTACGACGGTAAAAAAAAAATTTTGCGACGGCAAACTTTTGTCGCCAAAAAGCTACAAAAATCTGATTTTTTGCGACGGTAAAGTCTTGCCGTCGCTAAAAGAGTTTTGTCGACTGCCAAATCCCGTCGGTAAAAGTATCGTCGCTAATGACGATTGGCGACGGCAACCTAAGCCGTCGCTAAAGGTCTTATTCTCAGTTTAATTCCTACCTTTTGCGACAGTATTTGAGCCGTCGCAAAAAGCTTGCTACCATTTTCTTTTTGCGACGGGGGAGCTCCGCCGTCTCAAAAAAAAATTTAAAAAAAAAATTCCCTGTACTAAAATAATTAAAAATATAAAAAAAACCTGTATTAAATGAAAAATAACTAAAAAAAAAATCTAAAAATTACATAATAATATAAATACATACATAAACAAAAGTTGGCACATGATGAACATTCATAATGTTGTTCCATTCATAACAATACATAAAAAAAAATTCATCACAATAAAAGTCCACATGATGAGTTTGAAGCATACCGAGAAGTCTCCTCTGATAGCAACTCAGAAATTGCTTGTTCAAGAGTGGGCAATGGATGGCGATGAAGCAGAGAGGCATGTACGGGCTCAAAAAATGAAGTAAGAGCCATGAGAAAGTGCACCAACCTTTGCTGGTTGCGATAGATAGTAAATAAAACAACATCTTCGTGGTTATGCCAAGTTGGTTCTGAAAGAGCAAGCTGATCCCAAACAGAGTACATTTGAGAAAGGAAGTCATTAATGGACTGAGTGGATTCTTGGCGCATGCGGTGATGTTGGTTCTGAAGTTGATATTGATGGGCAAGACCAGTAGTCTGGTATCGTTCTTTCAAAAAATCCCAGATGTCTTTTGCAGGAGTAGTTACAGAGTCAAGCTGAAAGCGACCAAACTGAAGACTGATAGAGGTAATAGAGGTATTACGAAACCAGGTATTGATTTTGTAATTCTTACTGTCTCATTCCTCAAGTCGGTCTTCATATGTAGTAGTATGAGCAGTAGTTTCATTAGTGGCACTGTCTTTCACCAGTTTAGTCACATCCCCGGTGACAATTCGCCAGAGCTTCTTGCCTTTGAGGAAGAAGGACATGGCTTGGGCCCATAGAACATAGTTGGAACCATTCAAAATAACGGAAATGGGATGGGAGGCATCATGACGATCCATAATAATAGTTGAGTAGGGCTAAATTGAGAGGAATAGACCTGTAGGAGCAAAATTAGGTAAAACAGAGTGTACCAGTGAGTCCGGAAGGCCGAAAATAGTTAGGAAATGTGGGCTGTGTAGAGATGATGTCAGCAGGATGGAAAATGATGTCAGCAGCGCACGTTAGCAGAGAGGGCGTGCGGCGTATAGTAGCAGAATGGTGCACGCGGGTACACAATAGCGGAACGGCGCACGCGGGTGCACAATAGCGGAACGGCGTACGCGCGGCTCACGGTAGACGAATGGCGCTCGCGGGTGCACGGTAGCAGGCGCGGCGCACGAAAGGGCAGAGTGGAAGGCGCGTGAAGGCGCGTGTGAGCTTGGCAACGGAAGCAGAGACGCGCCGAGCAAAGAGGAGGCGCGTGAGAGCGCGTGAGAGAGTTTCTGGTGACGGGCTTGGTGCCGTTGGAGTCGTAAGGAGATTCCGAGCTGTTTGGTGTA